ATAGTCAACACATGATAGATAGTGTCCATAAAATACAGAAAGCAAAATGATATAGATATGTGCGTAAGTTAATACAGCAACACACAACATTAATTATATAATTTAAAAAAGAAAAGAAAAAAAGATTACATTGTACTGTTAGTTATAAATATTTTGTGCCTATTTATTGTGCACATGAAAAATTTCTTTAAAGGCTAATATGGTATTCTAGCTCTTTGATATATATATATATATATATTAAATATAGAATATCAAAATTGAGATTTCTGAGACAATACAAAGAGCCATTTTTGTTAATGTTGAAGTGCAGACTGCAGCTGTCACCACTGAATAGGTTTTGTATGAAATATTTTTGTGAACATGTGTACTGTATATGTACTTCATCATAATGGGCTAAGTATGGCCTAGTGATTAGTATGTAGGGCTGCATATTAATGGTACAAGATTCAAATTGTGACATGTTACTGATCATATTCCACATTTTCAGTTATGAGTTTATTGTGTATTGTAAAAGTGACAGTCATTCATGATATTTTATTAACAGTAGTCATATAAGTAGCTGTTTTTTCCAACTTCTTTTGGTTGGTAGTTCTAAATTGGAGAAAGGTATGCTTGAACCTTGGGGTTTTTGATATGGTTGTGTATCCCATTTATTGTATAAGGTACTGTTCAGATTATATCACTTATGTAACAGTTTTTAGAATGGCATTTAATATCCTTTGACCAAAACACACACACTTTTTATAGGCTTGAATATGTTAATAATTTACAAATTATTGTAAAAATATTATGATAGTAGTTATTGTATTGTTTTTACTGATTGTGATATAAATTTTTGACATCTGAGGAAATTTAAAACATAAAATTTATCATAAAAGCTTATCATCATGTTAAATATATGATGTACATGTACAAGCAACCAGGAAAGGAGCAATTTTCAAATGATGTTACAGTTAATGACCATTTCTTGGTGCTATAATGTAACTAAAGTGTTATAGACTAAAAGGTTTTAAATTGTCTCTTACACTACAAAATGCTAAACTTTAAGAAAATCACCACAAACAGCAAGAGTGTTTTGTCACTGATATTGGTCCTGAAGTGCACTTGGACCATTCCAATGAAAAAGCCTTTCCATGACATTATTAGTGCCTGGAGTTACTTGATAGAATGTATCACATCTCTAATAAACATTCCATACATGCTTAATAGGTTTAACATTTTATTAGCATGCAAGCCACTTTAATCATTCAGTTTTCTTCAGATTTTATAAGAAATGGTTTGACTTTTAACCAGTTTTGCCACAGGTGGGAGGCTTTATGATTCATTAGGTTGAAGTCACAGCTGAATGTGTCATAAACCCGATGGATTTTTTTTTGCAGTTGAACTATTCAGTGCCTTGTTGTGAATGCAATATATCTGATACAAGTCAGCCAAGAAAAGTCTGTTCCAAACCATCTGTATGTTAGTAAAGTATCTAGTTGTGACTGCTAACATCTGATTCAGTCTTTGTGTAATTGCAGCAAGCCATAATCACTATTTAGGAGTCATCTGTTTGTGCTATGTATGATGGCCTTCCTTGCTCTGGTGTCGTAACAACTGTACTTCTGTAATATTTATTATGTATAGTGTACTTAAGTTTTTAAAACTCACCATGTTATACCCTAAGTCAATTTTGTTGTTTGTGTAATATCTGGAAAGCACTGAAATTGTTTAGGATATAACATGGTGAATTTCAAGGATTTAAAAAGTCCATCAATATTACATATGTACTACCATTATAAGAGGCCGTACTGTACATCTTTGGTTTGCTGACCCAGTTATTGCTGATGAGCCTTGAATAGGAAAACTGCAGTCCATGGCAGAGGGTACAGTGAATCAAGAAATACATTAAGCCTGGAGGTCACAAAATTATATTTTCAGTTTTATCTTTGAAAAATATAATAAACTTGTGATCTAATTATTAAACACAGTATCATTGGTTTAGAAACAGCTTCATGTTCTGATGACATCTTGAGACACTTGTGCTCAAGTTGTAACAGTTAATTGGTGGCTTTCTTTTGTTTGATATGTTTCTTCAGCTGAGGTTAAACTATAAATCATGAACAATTTGGTACACATGATACTGTGGGAATCCTTTTGTGTGTGTGTGTATATATATATATATATATATGATAGGCTAATTGACCAGTTATTTACATTTCAAATCACAACTGTTATGAGATAGATGCCTTATTTGCACAACACTGAGCTTTGAGAGATGAAGAAATAAGGGTAAAATATTATTTCAGAACAGTGGTTTTTACCACTTGAATTCGATGATGAGGAACCCACTTTGAGACTAATAATACTTGGAGATGGCTTGAATGGTGTGAATGAAGGAATGCTTTATGTGGTTGATTTCTTCATCTGTATAGTCCGTTGAACAGTCTTGTGGTTGTGTATGAGGTTTTTCAGTGTATTGATTTTTTGTGTGGTGTCATGAGCAGAATTCCAGGGGATGTAGAGACCGGTGTGTATGTGTGTTCTTACGGTGAATTTTGGTTTTAAACTGTGAGTTGGATCTAATAAAGTTGAAGTTAAGAAGAGATAACTGTTTATTGTTTTCATGTTCTAAGGTGAATTTGATGTTGGGATGAATGGAGTTTATGTGGTCAAAGAAAGTTAGTATGTGTTCTGTAGAAGTGAAACCAGCATAGTGTACCAGTATAGTGGGGGATGAAGCGAGGATTGTATGGCTTGTGTTTCGATCTGGATCGTGAATATATTGGCAAGAACGGATGAAACAGGATTTCCCATACTTAAACCATCTATTTGAAGGAAATGTTCATTGTTGAAAATGAAGTTGATTTTAGTTGTAAATTCTAAGAGAGAAGCAAAAAAGTGCTGGGGATGTGGATTAACTTGTTGGAGTAATTAATGTAGAGGTCAAATGTGATATTGCAAGCTTCATTAATGGGGACTTTGAAGAGTGACACAACATTAAAACTAGCCATTAAGGCTTTATAATTTAGTTGGTCTAGTGTATATTGGAAATTGAAGGCATCTTTAAAAAATGAACCTGCAGATGCTACATTTTGTGTGAGAGCTCAGGCTATGTGTTTGCCAAGATTGTAGTAGAAGGAATCATAAGTGGACAGTATAGGTCGTACGGGCAGTCCTGTTTGTGTGGTATAGGAATGCCATAGAGTTTTGGTGTGCGTAATCAGTTTTATGAAGATAAAATAAAGATCGTCAGTAATTAAATTATCTTTTCATTTGTAATAAAGTTCTGTTTAGTTGTTTTTTGTGTGTGTTTGTTGGGTTGTACATTTGCTGTTATGTTAAACATGTATTAGTTTTTATTCATTACCCATTCAAGCCATCTCCCAGCATTAATAGCCTATTTGAATTGGGCAATTAGTGATATTTGCTAATTGATTAATCATTTGGCACATTAATCAGTACATTTGACTCATCTGTTAGTCCAGCATTTTTCAAACTATGATACCATTCCTCCATTTGGAGTACAAAAACAATTATAGCTGTAGTATGTAGATGTGTAATTTTGTATTTCCACACAGGTGCTGTAGCTATCCAATATCAAAGAAAGTTATATGGCTGTGGACATATCTACTCACAAATGATTTGACCAATCCAGGCCAAATTTGGCATGTTAACTTATTAGTCTAAAAGTAAACCAAATTCATATTAAACTTTCCCATGTAGTGAAAAATAAAAATATTTTATAGAATAACCCATATATCATTACTGCAGTAGCTATTGTAAATAGTTGAGATTGAATAAAACTTACATCACAACATAATTCTACAAGTCAAAGATTGTAAATAAAATGTTCAGCATTTTGGCTTGTTTCCAATAATAACCAAAATATACGGTAATAAAATATCCAACTACAATGCACAGAATAAAGATATTGCTTCTGTTTAAGTTTGCTGCTCTTTTCTGATTTAACCATTTAATTTCTAGTTTATACTAGCTTTAAATCCCACTAATTTTGGTATTCAGTATGTAAGGTCAATTGTTTCTCATTACCTGCTTAAGGAATCCAAGCATGTAGAATTAAGTTCATCAGTGAAGAATCTGGAGATTTGACAGATACATTACTAAATATATATGTATATATAGATAGATACTCCACACACACTTGCATGAATTCCACTTTTTGTTCTTGATCAAATTGTTATTGGCAGTGTAACTGGACACTTTGTATTGGTGGATCCACACTATGTTTTGACATTTGTTGTGCAATTTCTTTGAGTTCTCTGGTGAATTGTGTCTAAAATGGTAATTTATTGTTATGTAGTATTGATATAGGAATTATTCTTGACTTAATGCCAGGGAAGCTTGTCTCTGTGGTAGTTTTAGTACAATTAAAACATTGGGAAAGGTTTCCTTACATTTCTAGATCCACTCTCTACAATCTTTTGCTTTCCATTGTTAATAAAAAATTGTACGTATTTGGTTATATTTTTTGAGGTAGATCCATCAATTTAAGTTTTTAGGTAGCATTTTTTAGGGTTTTTGGGCATATATCTACCATCCCATAATGTGTTTTTGGAGAATCTTGTGAACTTTCCCTTTCATTGTCTTTCCAAAGCCAAATGTTGCATGATGGTGCAATAGATTGTAAATTGACGTACCCTGACACATTATGCATTTATTCTTTGAATGTTCAGGTTCTTTGTAGTTACTATCACTTTCACTTTATGCACCATCTTTTATATCTGGCATGGAGTAGGGTATGACTTCTGTGCTACTTTTATATTAACAAATGTAGCTGATTGTTTAATTAGACACCATAAAATTATCTTACATCTTCTTCATTGAAAAGGGTTGTTATTTAACCATCCCACCAAGGTAAAATATATGAAGGCAATAGGTTATGTATTAAAACTTTTCTTGTAAATATGAATCAATCCTCCATTTTATTAAAAGATTTTGATTATCCTTTAATTGTATTTCATCGTGTATAAAGTAATAGATTTTGATAAATCTTACAGTTGCATCTAGTCAAACAAGCTTTAGAAGATGTTCAAACGAAACGAAAAGAGTTGCAGAAAGCTTCTCCAGATATTCTAAGAATCTTGGTAAGTTTCTGAAGCCATAGCTAAAAATGTGATTTTTTTTAGTATCTTTATACATCAATCCCAAGTGTCTGGGTAAAGTACAGAAATATATAATTTTGTTTTTATGGTCCTAGAAAAGCCGTAAAATTCAACATCATGCTATAAAACTGGGAAAAATCTATAAACAATAAAAACCATTGCAGGTGTGAATGAATAATTGACAATTAGCATTTTTCAATGTTTCAAACATTTATTTGCATTTTACTTGTTCTTGCCAAATCTTTGTTAGCTGCAGATTAATTGGGGGGATAAACTTAATTTTTAACAGTTGCATTGAAGAAATAATACATTTAGTTTGGCATAGTTTGCAAATTCTGCTCATATTCAGTCTTGAGTGGATTAATCAGTGTGTGTGATAATCCATGTAATATGAAATTTTCTTCTAATAGCCAGTACTTGTTTTAGGTGAACATGAGTTCATGTTTTTGACTGTATTTTATTGTGAAGTATATAAAATGCTTCTGTATAGAGTATTATGTTGCTTTTTACAAAAGCAAATAAAGATTAAAAACAGAAATGCATAGAGCACTGAAATTTTGTAGTTGTCTTGAACTGTAACTGAAGATATTGTGCACCATCAGGCAGGTTTTTATAGCCTTTGACTTATTAATATAAAGACCCTGTTAGTGAATTAACTAGTAGTTGGTAATTTTCCAATAGGTTTGAACCATTGCTTGATAGCCTACTTTCTCTACCAGTCATTTTGGCTGTTTCTTGAGTTTTTTATTTGGCTATAAGAAAACTGCAATTTATTATTTATTTGGTTGGTTTTCATTAAAAATTAAATTCTAAAATACACATTTATTTCAACTTTTATAGGTGCTACAACCTGTTAGTTTAGTGTCACCCACTAAATCCCTCTTTAAAGGGTTTTAAACTACTATCGTGTGTTTAATTGATTTTACAAATCCTGTAAGAGGAGAATCGAGGCACTTTTTATTTGTTATTGGCAGTTATGTTGTTTATTGCATAAGCTTCGTAGTTTCTTAAACCCTTCCATGATTTGCCCAAGACAGTTCAGGTGCCCTCCATGTTTCATATAATATTTGCTTGAGTTAATTTGGGCAAACTATTTCTTGCCATATTCTTAATTATTTGTATGTCATGTATTATAATCAGTACTCAGTACATGGTATTGGAAATGCTGTTTGTGCTGTTCTTTATTGGATTTATTCTAAATTATGTATCATAAACACTGGAGAAAAGTATTCTTATTATTTAATGTAGTTGCATTGAAATAATATATATATATATATATATCACATATAAATCCAGATAGGTAACATTCATTTAACAGATATATTTAGTGAGAAAGATAATAAGAGATCATAAAAGAACTTTTGTTTAATATATAAATACAGGCTATTGAAAAGCAAAATAAAAAAAACCTGACTTTTTTGGCTCATTTCCAAAAAAAGCCTTGCATGGAAGGAGTTACTTATATAAAAGTTCAAATAGAGAATTGATTTACTTATTATGGTATTTTTCTGTTTATCAACTTAACAACAGACTTGCAAAAAAGAATTGAAAGTTTAAAAGGTTTTGGAAAACTTCATAGAGATCCTAGAATTTTGTAAATCCAAAAGTATAGGAACAACATTTATAGTTGGGTGCTTGTTGGAGTATCTTTCCTCAAATAACACTGGCCAACAAGTCATCTTCATCAGATATAATTATAGGTGGGCTAGATAGCTCTTGGAACACTGATTCCAAATTTGTTTTTGGTTTTCCTCTAGCATGTCAAGTTTTCGTGATGAGACTGATCAAATTTGAAAGGTTATTGCCTTAATTATAATTTAAGTTGTTGTACATATCTTTTTTCATAAGTGTGTACTGTATAGATTTAACCAAGTGTATGGTGTGTATAATGTTTATGGGAATTATACTTGAAAATTAATAAACTTGTAATGTTAACTAGCCTAATGTGTGATTATTACTTAAATTGTGCTGAAATTAACACTAGATGTAACTAGATGTACTAGAAGAAAACCCGAAACAGATTTGGAATCAGTGTGCAAAACTGGTCTAGAAAAGTGTGCTTACATCTTTGATGAGAGAAAAAAGTTCAGTTTTGTCGACCAGTGTAATTAACATTTTATAAAGTTTCAATTAATCATCTTCTTCAATCACCTTTTTTGAGAAGTTTCTTATCACTACTATAGACTGTTGAAGTATAAATATAGTGCAGTGTGTTTTTCAGCAGTTTATCCTTTTGTATTAGTCTGCTCTTGACTTTTGTTTAATTATTCTTGTTTTCTGCTTAGTATTTCATATTAAATATAAATTTGGTAGTAAATATAAAGATAAGTCTTAAAACCATTATTTTTATTATTTTTTGTGTTTGTACTTTGTAGTATGTGGAATAAATAGGAGCAAAATAATACACTTATACTATCCAGAAGCAGGGGTACAGAATATAACTGATAGAACCAGAAAGATAGTTAAGGGTGCTAGTAGAAATGCAGTTTTTGTGATACATGTTGGGGCTAATGATGTAAGGAAAGATGGATCTGAGGAGCTTGTTAATAAGTATAAAACATTGATAAGGGCATTTAAGGAAAGGGGTCATAGCTTGATTTTGCCAGGGATATTGCCAAGAATAAATTGTGGTGATGAGATACTAAGTAGGTCTCTAGGATTGAATGCCAGGCTTAGATCAACATGTAGAGATGAGCTAGTTGAATTTGTGGGATAATTTTAACGGGATAGTTAATCCTTTTGAAATGGATGCCTTACACTTAAGGCAGGTGCTAGCACGTTAGCAAGGGCTATTAACTCAGCTTTAGTGGCTGATTTAAACTAGGGCTAGACAGAGATGAGGGCTATGGTGTTAGTAAAATTGGAAATATAATTGACAGGAAAACGTACAACAGGCATGAAACATGGACGTATTTGAAATCTGTGATTAATTGTTACTATTGTAATGATAGGAGTATTATAAATAAAATTGATGAGTTCAAAGCAGTTGTGGAAACTGAGGATTTTGATATTATAGGTATCACTGAGACTTTGTTGGATTTGAACAATTTTGATGAGAGAAATTGTTTTGAAGTACAAGGCTACAGATTATTTACTAGAGATAGAGTATTGAAAAAAGGGGGAGGAGTAGTTTTATATGTGAGGAGTGAATTGCATCCTGTTGAGTTAGAGCATATTAAAGAAAATAGCACTGAGGTTGAGTTAGTTTGAGTTGGTGTTAGTGGTTATAAAGGGAAAAGTCTTGTAACTGGGATTTGTTATACACAATCAGCTCAGAATGTAGTAGTTAATGAGAAACTGTATAATGAGATCAGAATGGTAGCTGAAAAAGATGTTGTTATTATGGGAGATTTTAATTTCAGAGGTACTGATTGGGAAAATTTCGAGTCTGACAGTGAGGGGGATTGGTTTTTGGAAATTACTCAAGATACTTTTATACACCAACTGGTGATAAAACCTGCAAGAGAGGAAGCTACATTAAATTTATTATTAGCATCTGATGTAAATATGATAGACAGAGTTGTGGTTGGTGAGTATTTAAGTAAAAGCAAAAAAAATCACTTAAAAGTCAACTAAACAGTGTATTGTAGCTAGTAGTAGGGCTAATAGGATTTTGGGTAGCATCTATAAAAATATTGAATACAAGACAAGGGATATTATTGTTAAAAACTCAAAATTTTTTAAAAACAACGATTATTTTACACACAATTTTAAAAATGAGATTGTTTCCAGTCACAAAATTACAAAAATACAAATAACTTGCTGTACCAGATAAAAAGTAGTAAAAACACGATGAGAATGGAAAACAATCTCATACACTCTACATGTTTTGACGTATATTATTGCATCATTCTCAGGATGGTGGAGGCAGAAAATTTAACTGAGTTAAAGAAAAGAGTGGATGAATACATGATTAGTTAGGGGGTGGTTATTGTTAGGAGCTGGAGAGACATCCTTGTTGGGCTAATAAGCTCCTTTTTGTACCTTTAAAATTTTATGAATTTGAAAAAAAAAACAAATATTTTTTAATTTTGATAACATAACCTATGAACCACAAGGAACTGTTTTCTCCCTCAAAATTGTCTTTTAACACCCACACTTGGGTAAAATAAAAAATTTAAATACACCCTTTAGTGCTTAGGAAATCATCAATTTCTTCATTAAACTCTTTCGTCATGGGCTCGGTCCCTAGGATCGAGTCACATGACCTTCTGTACTCGTTTAAAGTTCACATAAATTTAATACATATAACTATATATATATATATTGGGTATATCTTCACAAAATTTGGCAGTCTTTAGGTTAATATTACAAGTCTTTCACATATAAAAAGTTATATTTCTTAGTGAAGTACTTTTAATAAAATAAAATAAAGTTTTGTCCATGAATATATTGGGTATTTGTTTTGATCATTCTGTGTGCAAAGTAATGTTCATGTTAAAATTAAAAATACTTTTCGCCATTTCAAAAATATCAAATTTCCTTTATGTAATCCCTAAAACCTCCTAAATGCATTTCAAACGTTTTTTTTTTCACTAAATCCTTATAGTTTATATGTTATTTTCTGTACCCTAATCACAAAACAAGATCGGTCAAATCGACTGACCTCGTAACCACCCAGAAAAAATCAAAATA